TTCACGAGTGCATGCAACGGTCAGTAAGCAAATACATGTAAAGAAACAGAATCATTAAGGCTTGGCCAGTTCACAAGGCAAGAGAAAAAACACTTACCAGTTATGAAAGTTTATGAACATCAGGTGCAGCGGTCACATAAATTCTGCCGAGTTTTTGAATGGTTGTATACGACAAGACGATAATTCTTCCATCGTGCAAATTATGGTCATTTTCGTCAGTTAAGGCTCGTTAGCATTCGGCCTACTTTAAATCAGACACAGAGATGCAGTGCGGTACGATCGCATTTATTTGAATTAATTATTTATATCATTTATTAGAGAGAGAGAGAGAGAGAGAGAGAGAGGGGGTTTATGTATGAATTACCACCATTTTGCGGCGTTTCTCTATTATCAGTGAAGCTGTGGCTTTAATTCCTTTAGAAACAATGATGTTACCCACACACACACACTCACTCTCTCTCTCTCACACACACACACACACACTCACTCACTCACTCACTCCCCACACACGTGTTTACTCATCTAAAGGTGGACATTGCATAGATTTATAGTGTTTTTATGTACACACTAACCCTATCTAGTGTTATTTCAGTTTTTCTTACTCAACACTTTTTTCTTGTTTTCCAGTACAAATATTTAAACATTCTTAAATCAAGATACATTTACTGGAGATGCAAAATAACTAAGGATATTAACAAAAAATTACTAAAATTAAGTGAGTTTTTGCTTACAACTGGAAAAAATATTTGCCAATGACGTCAGGAAAAAAACTTGTTTTTTCTTTGAATTAAGTTTACTTTTCTGAGCCCAATTTCAGATATTTTCTCTTGTTTTAAGCAAAAACTTTTTTCACATTTTTCAGAAAACAAGACTTTTCATCTAATGCCATTTTGCTTCTTTCAGTAAATGTGTCTTAAATTAAGAATGTTAGATATTTGTACTGGAAAACAAGACAAAATGCTGAGGAATTTTTTTTTGTGGCAGTGTGTTTGTACCCAAAAGTGAGCAAAACCTAACAAAACCTCCTTTTGGGGACATTCTCATTTGTAAAAACAGTATAAACATACAAAGTAAATTTTTTTTGTTTGTTTTTTAAATGCATAAAGTGTTCCTGTTAGAGCTAAGGAAACTAAAACTAAACCCATAAAAAAAGCATTTTGTTACTTGAAATAAAATAAGTATTAAATGTATGTATGTGTGTGTGTGTGTTTGTGTGTGTGTGTGTGTAGGTTAACGGGCATCTTACGCTGAGTGAGAACATTGCTGATCTGGGTGGACTGAAGTTGTCTTATAATGTGAGTTTTATCACTTCCTACCATGAAAAGTGCAATAAAACACCATTTGAAATAGATTTTTTTCAACTTGAAAACTTGCTTTAAAAGTTTAAAGCAATGCTTTAAAGTTAAAATTTCTATATTAAACAAAAATGTTTTAGCAATGCTTGCAGAGACTAAAAGTCAATACAAGTCACCTTTTTTCTGTAGTGCTTTATAAAGATTGTTTTAACTCTGAAAATGTTTTTATTTTTGTCATTTTCCAGTACAAATATCTAAACATCCTTATCTCAGGAGCAAAATGACTTTAGATGTTACGTCTTATTTCATGAAATATGAATAAAAATAGCAACTCTCTTTTTTAAAGATGTAACATATTCCACTGAAGACGAGTATAAACGAACCCAAGTGCAGCTTTATTAAATGCAAACGTGAGCACATACAAAAAAACAAACAAAGACTTGGCTAGACTTAGCTTGGAACAAAACATAAACGTGACACTCACCAACAGAGGATTACACAAACAACAAAGCTAGACAAGAGACAATGGCAAAATGAGGGCTATATATATGAAACAAAGAGGGTCACATGACATAAACCAACCAAAGACAAAACAGAACTAGCAACCGCATGACAAGACAATCAACCAATGAAACATGAACTAAGGATCCAATGGCAAGAACACAAGAGGGCAGAAGGAATCACATGACAAAGAACATGACCGAGGCAAAACTACAAAATAAAAGAGATGAAAACAATGAAAATGAAACAAAACCCATGTTACAAAAGACGACATTCAGCAAGTTATTGCTGAAGTGAAAGCATAAAAAAAAAATAAAGGGTAAAAAAATTCTAGAAGTTTAAATTTACTTTAAAGAAAATGTACTGTATACTAAAAATACATAATAAATATTTTATAAAATTGTCAAAATATTTTGGAATTTAAAATTGCTGTAAAATCAAAGCCATATGTCTAATTAAGTTATGCTCCAAATTTGAAGTTGATATCACAAAAATCGAGCTATACCGAAAATAGCCACCGGGTGACACCCAAACTCCACTGAATTTTTCACATTGCATAACAGCATAGTTTCATGGGATCATCTGTGAATCGTGATTTGTTTTCCGGTCTGCAGGCGTATCAGAAGTGGGTTCGTGAACACGGGCCGGAGCGTCCTCTGCCGGGACTCAAATACACACACGAGCAGCTCTTCTTCATCGCGTTCGCTCAGGTAAACCAGATTAGTTCATACAGCGTTAGTTAGCAGTGTTGGGGAAAGTTACTTTTGAAAGTAACGCATTACAATATTGCGTTGCTCCCTAAAAAAGTAACTAATTACGTTAGTTACTTTTTATGGAAAGTAATGCGTTACGTTACTTTTGCGTTACTTTTCAAATCTGGGCTGGGCTTGCTTGTTTATTTTTAATATAAAAAGTTCTATTTCTGGTAAATGTAAAAGCCCTTTCACAACAAAAAGTGAAATGAATGAACCTCAGGCTGAAGGAAAAGTAAATTCACGTCTGTACAGCAGAACGCAGGAGAAGAACGTTCAACACTCTTCAGCAATAAAAAAAAATTAAGCACAAATGTTAGTTTATCTAAAGTGATTTTTGCTTATTAGTATGATTGAATTTGATAATCAAAGCTCAGCTGCAAAGACATTGGTTAATAAAATAGGATTAAATACATAAAGGATATTTGTGTTATTTACCATTTAACTATTGCAGATTTGCATCAACTCAGATATTTTCTTGTAAATTAAAAAGTAATGTGTTACTTTATTAGTTACTTAAAAAAATGAAATGTTTTCTACACATTGCATCACAGAACTGGTGTATGAAGAGACGATCGCAGTCGATTTACCTGCAGCTGCTGACGGATAAACACGCACCTGAACATTACAGGTAATACACAGCTAACACAATTAATATTCCTCATTAAAAACGTTTAATAAGTCAAACATTACTACTACAAACCAAGCTCTATCTAGAAACCGATTAGCTGGTAACTACAGTATATAATGCCATTCTTCGGTTGTTATTGTTTTGCATTATGCTTAACAGCTCATTAAATCTGCACATTTAAATAATTAGATATAGCGTTACATGTTGGCATGTGTATTTAATTTTTCAGAAGATAATTTCAATATAAGGCTGTTAAACTCAATCAAACAAAAATAAAACAGACAAAATAATTAAAGCAGAAATAAAAGAAAGTAAATCATTTCATAACCAAATAAATTAGTGCATTAGTGTAATTAAGGCATGTTTATATCCAATTCATAAATACTTAAAGCAGTTCACTAATTTTTAATTATTCATCCTCGTTTATCTGATACTTAAGTATGACCAGTGTTATTTTAGTATCACTGAGAATATTATAGTTTTTATTGATATTTTGAATTATTTTTATTAATATTTTTAAATATTTTTATTTTCCATTTTTCATCTTTACATTTAGTTCTAGATTTTTTGTGCTTCAATAATTTATATTATATTATATTATATTATTTTTTAATGTCTATATATATTTTCTTTTTCAGTTTTAAGTTATTTTAGTAAATAAAAATTAAATTATTCTAAATTATCCATCTTTGTATATCTGATACTGAAATATTAATTATGTTATTTAAGTATCACTGAGATAATACTATAGTTTTTCTTAATATTTTTAATAGTTTTTTATATATATTTCCCTTCACTGAAAGTTCTAGATTTTTGTGTGTTTTTGTCATTATTATTATTATTATTATTATTATTATTAATTCATTTTTATTTCAGTTTTAATTTAGTTATTTTTACATCATTTACTAAATGAACAACTACATAAAAATGAGACATTGGTAACTGGCTGAAATAAAGTGAATTAAATTGTTTTGTTATATTTAATTTTTTCAAGTTA